ATATCTGGATCTTTACTCAGTAAGAGTTTAACAACTTTATGATATCCATAACGACTAGCAAAAATTAAAGCAGTCAATCCATCATTATTTTGAATGTTAATATCTGGGTGTTTACTAAGTAAGACTTCAACAATCTGAAGATGTCCATTGGAACTAGCACACATTAAAGGAGTCTGTCCATCATCTTTTTGAGCATTAACATTTGGATTCTTATCAAGTAAGAGTTGAACTGTCACAAAGTCTCCTCTCATGCAAGCAATCATAAGTTTAGTGTTATCATTTTGCAGAGGCAAACTAATGTTTAGTTCAGATAAGAAAAACAAAACTTTGGCATTGTTATTTTGATAAGCTTCCTGTAATGCAGCCTCAAATGTAAAAGATTTATCTTCCTCTTCCTTCATGATAACAATATCATTAACAATTACCTCAAATACACCAATCTTACGTAACAATAACCTTTGTTCCAAAGGTGCTTTTACTAATGTATCTGTATATGATTGAGGTAATAAATACATGCATGTAAGGCTGGAGGTACCACAATGTATATCCTGAAGTGTTAGATAAAATGCAATATCTTGGAAGTAAAAGATTTCTGCTTTATTCAATTCAGTTATTGTCCTTGAGCACCAAGGTTTGTTAAGTTTTAGAATTAATTTTGAACAGCAGACAGCACCATCAGGATATTGCACTTGCATACCTTTGGTAATCATTGCAAGCTCCAGTAGGCTAGTGGTGTCTTTGAATATCTTCAAGTTAGCATTGTAATCTTCTACCTGTTCCTTGATAGGTTCTGTAATAGTACACGGTATTGTGAGTAGGTTGATGTTCAAACACGAGTAATGAGGCTGGAGCAACTGCAACAGTTGATTAACATTTTCACAAGTAGCATCTTCTTTGATATAAAAGGGAAAGTTTTGTCTTGCGTTTCTAACCAAAGATTCACTGGTCAAAATATAGGTAGCAGTATCAATGAAGTTACTATTCAATGCATGTAAACAATTTTCCAGCAATCGAAATCTTTCTTTTAAATTATTTTTAATAGCACATATGAATGAATCATACGAAGAGCTACATACACCTCTTTCTTTAACAGCCATATCTAACATGTCTTCAACTGAGATGCCATCTTGTGGCATAATTTTCTCTCCTCCAATTGATTTGTATATATGTTCAGAGAGAGCAGTGCATGCTAAACTGTTCAATCCAATGCATCCTTTATTTGCTCGTAGTTGTACAAAAGGATCAGCACCATTTAGTAGCAATGATTCAAATACTTCAATGTGTCCACCTTCACTAGTTAGCATCAGTGCATTCTTACCATTAGTGTTCTGGTAATTTAGTTCTATTTTAAGTTCTATTAGAAGTAATGATAATTTGTGATATTCTAGATTGCTTTCGATGCTTGCAATGGACTCTAGAAGTGATTCTTCAAACATAAAACTAACATCTTTGTCTCTGTCAACAATAGTTTGATTGTCAATCATTAGTTGAAATATACCAAGAAGATGTAAAAAGTTTAATTTAGCTTGTGATTTCACAATGAGAAATTTGACTGATCTGTTTGAAGAAGCCAAAAATTCAATACAAATCGATCCTTGTAAAAACTTCTTTATGGTAACACATTTTGCTTCTTCATCGAATAAATATTTCATTAGCTTGCGAAGGTGGCCAATGGTTTTTGTATCCCATTTTCTGGACAGTTTCAGAATAATTTTAGGATCAACTTTGGTACTTTCTCCAATGATTGCTGCTCCAATAGTTGTAACCATGTCATCGAGTTTTACAGAATCGATGAGTTTATTAACGTCATCATTATATTTATCAAACCTAACCTGTAAAGCTGTATCATCAATTGGATAATCTTCTATGAGATCATTTATTGCTTCAATGTCAATAAAACTATGATGTGGCTGCATTTGATTAAATATTTCATCAACAGTTACATTCTCACATGCTAAACCAGTTTCATCAAAAGTGGCTTGAACCCATCGAGCAATAACAATTGCATCATGTTTTCCACTGGATGCATAATATGTAATAATATCAGTAATCAGCTTTGCATATTTCTTGTGTAGGTTTCGAAGGTCAATTGCTAAATTATCGTTAGAGCTAAGTTGTACTTCTTTCGGAATAAATTCTAAGACCGCCTCAGTAAGAGTGAATGATACTTGATGATCTTTAAACACTTCATTCTCCCAGTCTCTAGCTAGTGCCATTGCCTCTTCTTGAGCTGGACCTCCTGCAGTTGATAGACACTCTATAAAAAGGGAACACACCTCCATCATCTTTTTTGCATCCCCTTGGTATATTGAAATCATTGCCGAAAAACCTATCTCAATTTTTCCAAAAGTTGGTGAGTGCATAACTTCTTTAGTAATCAAATTTTTGCTGTACAACTGACTGGCTACTTCTAAAAGGCAATTTTCAGTGCTTTCCATTAATTTTGAGTAATGAATTCTTAGTACCTGCTTTATTTTTCCGTAGAGATTTTTACTAGAACTCTTATCTACAATGAAGAAATGTTACACTAAAATCATCCTATTTTAAACTAAACTATTACCTGAATGATCATCTAAGACAATACGAGCAACAGTCACTTCATTAGCATCCAGCAAAGCATCAATGACCTTTCTCCAAGTTATATCAGGATTATTATCAAGACAACGTTGAGCTACAGCATTCCACACTGTGTCCCCTACTTTTTCCGTCTCTCTGATTCCAGTAATGACATCATGTGACACATTAAGAAGGTAGCAGGCAAATTGTTCCCAAGTACCAGCAGCAAACTTTGAGCTACTCAGTAACTCAACCAACTCATCTTTTGTTGGTTTATCTATAATGATGTATGAGTACTATTAATAATGAAGAACACTTTACCTGTAAGAGTGGGTCCAGGGTTAAGCTCCACATCTCCTGATATGAAGAGGAGGAGAGGGACACAAAAAATAGACAAAGTTAGCTTAGGAGCTTTCCCTAGCGTAGATGAAATCGTATTACTAAGTCCAGCTCTACTACCAACACAATCCCGGGATTGCGAACAATTGCAACAATTCCAAGACCCTATTCTAGCTCTCCATTGACACAAATCAATCATGTTGAAAAGCGTTGAAAAGAGGCGAAACTCGAAAACTAGAAATGTGCCCTAGCCCCTCCCCTATTTAAAGAGGAGGACTCGATTATCTATTTATATTATCATAAAAATCTCTAAAATATTATTGTTCAAAAGGATAAATTTAGAACACTATAGCTCGTTGGAAAGATAGGTTACAACGACTTTAGACAAACAAATACTCCCCAATGTGTTTTGCAGCATGAAATCCGGGAAGAGAAAGAGCTAGGGGATAAAAAAGAGATAAATGATAGATCAATCAGTAATTGATAATAAATGATGCACCTTATGTTTCAGAAATATGATATATTCCACAATAGAAACAAGGGTTAGCATTTCTTATTCATGCAACAAGCTTTGATCTTTAATAATTTAAGTTATAGGTTTCTATTTCCGCTAACTTAAACCAAGACAGCTATGCTTATATTTGAGAATGTATGCAGTACATGTATGTTAAATTCACAATGATGAGGGACAAAGTGAGGATAATAACAAGAAAGCATAAAATAAAAGAGTGAATTAGAGAAAAGAGAAACACTAAGAATTAGCTAAGCGAGTGAGTGAATCAGTTAGCAGGCTAATATAAAGAAATAGAAATCACCAATACAGTGACACATACTCACTTTTCCAAGCATTGATCCATTGGATGAATAATTTACTACTTGTACTGACCCTGGCTATAGCTTTGTAAACTCTACAGTCAACAAAAGATAATACAAATAAATGAAACACTTAGTTCAAAATTAATTTAAAGGAGGAACATTACCAGTGAGTTTATTCCTCATTCCATGCACTTGTAATAATTAACATGTTGGACAGTTGTGTGTCTACAGCATATCCTATAGCAGCAAGTAACTTGTTGCATGTACAAGTAGGAACTGATAAAATGATGGTAGTGTATGAGCAGCTATGGATTAACCTTCAGAGGAACCACCTGAAATGACAGGGATAAATCAATAACTAAAAATAGATCTTATGAATGAATACTTACAGTAACTAATGACAATACAGCTTGGGTTTGTTAGTAGGCCACTGCAAAATAGAATTCAGCTCCTACAACAAAAATGATTAATTTACAAGTTTAATTTACTGCACAATATTACGTAGAAAAACTAACTACAGAACATGACAGAATATTATAATTAGTAACTAAAAATAAAATTTGAAACTAAAGCAAAACACAAAATAATTATGACTTCATGTTGATTTAGGAAAAAAATAAGTAGCAGGACACAAAAATGCATGCACATACATGGCTTTCAAATTATTGTATAATAAACTGAGTCAGTTAATACAAATCATCAGTTAGGGATTCAGTCCTGAAAGATGGTAAATGATAAGATGTTGTATCATCATTCTCAGTCAATACTTGATTTGATAGAAATATACATGTACATGTAGCATTAGTGTCAGAGTCATACACAGGGTTTCCCATAGGATTATGGCATAGTGCTCATATACAGTAGCTTCTTGTCAGTAAACTATCAAGTTACTCAAAAATTGAGCCAAACACCTTGTACTATAGTACAGGGATTTTTGCCAATACCAAACAATACCAAACAAAGTCCTTAATATACAGGAGGCCAACAGGAACCATATCACTATGCAAAAAGCTTATAAAAACAAATATTGGCACTAAGTAATTAAAGAGTAAACTATATCCAATTCAATGTACAGTGTAATTATAAAACAAAATATTACACTGAAATACATACATGTATTTATACTAAATACTATACGAAGGCAATAAAAATAGAAATAAATAAGGAACAACTGAGAATAGTTTTTTGGTAATAATGCATGATGCTTATTTACACTCACTTAATTAGCTAAAAATAATCATTATTATATAAAAAAATCTGATGTTACCATGCGTGTAGTCATATTGTGTACAAATAAAACACTACATGCACAATTAAACATCAATATTCATTGTGTATCTATAGGTAATCAACAATAAAAATCTATATACTGATATATTAAAAGATTCACAAATTCAGTATAACAAATATCATTCTTAAAGCTTTGTCCTTGCTTGAATAAATGTACATGTACACGTAACTAGAATAAAGTAATAATTATTATTATTGGCATGATTTACGGTGCATTCCTCATCAGTGTATGTTGGAATGGGAAGTTTCTTGTTGAAATGAACAAAAGGATAATCTTTTCCCTTTTCGGTAGTCCAACGCCAATGATACAATACGCTCATCCTAAATTAACAATTAGCATATAATAGCTAAATATCTAAGATGACAATTTATCATTAAAAGCCGCGAGAAAATTATTTGTCCTACTACAAGTACACGTACGTTGCAAGTTTGAACAAAAGACAGTTCATTTTACATGCATTAATGTGCCCTTAACTGCAAATGTTTATTTGGCATGGCATTTATTTTGTGCAAGGCTAAAAAATACTAAATTAATTTCACTAAAATTTAACAAAAATTTGTAAAAGCCACAAAAATAAATCCAAACAAAATGAAAATTTGAGGTCAAAAGATACTACACTTTTATGATTTACTTCTCTGGTTGAATTGTGAATGGCATCCATTTCCAAGGTCTAACATGCTTCCTTCCCAGTCTTGCCTTTGAGTGTCTGTAGCCTGATCCACTGTCAGTTGGTATCAGTGATGTGCTAAAAATAAAAAAAATTAAATTAATATTACGATTTAGGAGCATAAAATTTTATTCAAGGTTTATTCCTAAATAATAGACGTACATGTACATAATACTTCTGCTATAAATCTCACCTGCCACCAATAGGTGTAATATGAACACAATGTAGAGTCTACTGACTTAAACAAAATTTGATAGTGTCCCAATAACTTCTAACTCACTCAAAAAAGATGCAACACAAATGTAACAAATGGAGGTGCACATTACATATTAATACAATAATTATAGTCATACCAGATAGATGACATAAGCCCACATTAGCAAAATTCTTAGCTTACTTATGAAAGAAATAAAAATTACAATAAGTACAAATAATTAGAGTGCACTTTATGATAGATTCTTTAGTCAGTTGATGTGTCTTGGTGCATGGTTCTTTTACATTAAAACAATCCATCATGATCTCATATAAGCTCATTAAAATTCTATTGTATTAGATCTATATTTAAAAAGAATTTATTAGTACTTGGGACTAGTTGGAAGACTCTACAGGCATGTGCTGTCACAATTTTTTTGTCCAGGCAAAAGAATTGTGCTATAACTCTGTACTTCCATGTGCACATGGTTCTTTCAGTCATGTCACAAACAATGACCAAGCTTAGAGCTTATTACAAAATATTAAAAATAAGATATGCTGCCATTCACCATGTCTTAGCAAAAAACTGAAAAAATTTTCAATATAGTAAAATTTTTTGCAAATCACAATGTGCACAAAATGGCAAAAAATTGGATA